GCTCCGAAATGAGGCTCCGGGACGCTGAGCAGTTGCAGTTCAGGTTTACTCAGTTGCATCTCAGTGTTAGAGGCAGTCCTTTTAGAGCAAAGTCATAGCAGCTTTGGGTGACATGAGAGTAGCCTGCGGAGGTGCTCAGTGTGCTGTACCTGTTCTTGGGTAGTGGTTCCCAATGTGTGATGTTGTGGCACTTCTGACAGGTACCATTCTGTTCACTTCACATTAGGTGTGGGTTTTCTAAAGAGGTTGTACATAGCACCAGCCTGTACATGTGTGCTAAGTATTCTCTAGGTTGTCTTTAATACCCATTTCTACCTCATAGATGGGTTTATGTCTCAGTGTGCTGTACCTGTTCTTGGGTAGTGGTTCCCAATGTGTGATGTTGTGGCACTTCTGACAGGTACCATTCTGTTCACTTCACATTAGGTGTGGGTTTTCTAAAGAGGTTGTACATAGCACCAGCCTGTACATGTGTGCTAAGTATTCTCTAGGTTGTCTTTAATACCCATTTCTACCTCATAGATGGGTTTATGTAGCAGAGCAAATCATGGAGTGTTCAGTTAGAGCAAGATTAAGGAGGTGTGGTAAGCTTTGGGAATTTTCATGAGAAATCAGACTTCAGCCTTTTGAAACTCATCACATTTCCTTAGTGTCTTCCAAATTCTTTCTTGCTCCAGCCTTTCCAGTGTTGGTAGACCTCTTTCAGTTCAAATATCCGACTTGTTTTTCAGATTTCCAGCTATGTAGCGCTACAGCATGTTACTCTCTTCTCACATCAGAGGGAAATGGGAAATTTAACCTTCATGTTACAGAATGTATGTTATATATATGTTATAATGGTCTTCCTCATTTTCACTTACTGGTACTATGTGAGTGCTCAGCTGAAACTGAGAAATCAGTCGAAAGTTGCAAATCAAAACAAGTTATGTTAGAAAGCATTATTTCCGTCCTTATGAATATGTATGAAATCTCTCCTTAGGTTGAGAATTTCTTCTGTATGGGATCTCCATTAGCAGTGTTTTTGGCATTGCGTGGCATCCGTCCAGGAAACTCTGGTAGTCAAGACCATATTCTGCCCAGAACAATTTGTAACCGCTTACTAAATATTTTTCACCCAACAGATCCAGTGGTGAGTTTTAATCTCAGTTGCAAGCTTTTACCTTGACTATTTTTAAGCATCCGCTGTGTGATAATGTGTGGTTTTCAAATGTGTGTGAATCAATGTGTGCAAAACAATGCGAGTATGTTCCAGCAAAGGACCATTTGTTAATGCTTGTCATGCAATATCTTGGGTTTTGTAAATGTAAAATAATGGTTCCTACAAATAATTGCCTTAAATACCATATACTTTGCTCCTCTTTTTGTATTAATAAGCATGAGATTCAAGATTATTCTACTGGGGTTTTTTTCCCCCAAACACATGAGAAATAATCCTTCTCAGTCAAGTTCCAACTTGTGTTTAACTTACTGACTTCCATTAAGCATCATATGGTTTAAGATACTACTGCTGTTAAAAAAGGCTTCACAAGCAGTTTATAAGGTACTGTAGAAAAACAAAGATACCATTTTTTAATCAAAGGGTCCTGAATAACAGAAGGTTGAGATAGTACTTGGGAGAGTAGTAGCTTCCATAGGCAGCCAGCGTTTGCCCTTATCAAAAGGCAGGATGCTGGAATCTGCATCACCTTGGTAACTTCTTTGATGCAAGCTTCATTTGGGATTTCATTCTGACTGTAGAATAGTAATTTGGGGATACTTTTGTGTGTATAAACTCTACCTGAGTCTGGGTATATTCAGACTTCCAAATCCAAACATGCTGGTTCTGCTCATCTGAAGATCTCATTCAGCTCAAGCTACTCCAAAACCAGAATTTTTCTGGCACATCTAGGATAATTGGTCAAGCTGCAGTCTGTGGTCCCACTCTGCAAATAGTAATTTTACTTAGTTTTAAGATAAAGAAGTGCAGAATAGTTTTCTATATCAATGTAAACAAAGAAAAATAAAGAATCAATAGAATTTTTTTTTTAAATAAGCACACCAGTTTATGGTTTGCACAGGGATCAGTGAAGACTCATCAAACAAAATGTTTACATAGCCAGTTCTTCCCTCTCTGCTGTGTTGTGCAGAGTCAGCTTAACTGTAATTGAATTAAATTTGCTCTGTCAATGCATAATAACAAACATCTGCTAACAGTAACTTGTGTGTTCATAACCTGTAGTCAAAGTGTGGCAGAAAAATATGCAGAAGTGAATGCACAAGCAACTGGGCAGCTAATATATCTTCTAGGCTGTGAAAATAAGAGGGAACCAGAACATAATACCACCATATTGTCACTTTCTAGGCTTCACTCATTAGAGATATTGTGGATTTCAGGCTGGAGAAAACTTTGTATGGGAAGGAAATATGATTTTTCAGTCTTGATACTCAGGATACTCTTTTCTGTATTATTCTTGCAGGCCTATAGATTAGAACCTTTAATTCTGAAACACTACAGCAACATTTCGCCTATCCAGATCCACTGGTACAGCACTGTAAACCCTCTACCTTACGAGTGTATGAAGCCAAGTTTTCTCAACCCAACAAAAGAACCTACCTCAGTCACCGATAGTGAAAGTGCGTCAACTGTACCAAGCCCAACTACTTCACCAGTCATGGTTCGACGCCACTACGGGGAGTCTATAACAAACATAGGCAAAGCAAGTATATTAGGTAATTGTTCTTTATGTCCTTTGTTTTATATATAGGACCTTCTTGTTGAGCTTCACTGCTCTGTGGTGCAGTATTTGAGGTGCAGCATAAGCAAACTATTCCTGGCTGTTTGAGTTTGTTCTGTATAGATGTATGGCTTGTTTGAATCCCAGCTAACATTTACTTTGAAGAAAACATAGTTTACATATGCCAGAGTCAAGGCTTGCAGGGAGAGGTTGTGGGTCAGGGAGTTTATGCTATTGCTGTCTTATTGTTGTCTGCCTTACTGAAGTAACATCCTAGTGATTTAATAGTTTCCACTCTACTTCATGGGGGAAAAAAAAATCAATTAAAGCTTGTTTTGTGACTACATTTTCTGGTATTGGCAAATAGGAGAAAGATCACTCTGTGTAAACTATTACATTTAACTCGTGATTTCATGCTAGGAAATTCAGGCTGTTTTAATATGAAATCTAGCTTTCTGATTCAAAATAAGCTCTGGTTTAAGTGAGCTTAAATTCACTTTCATTGGAGTTTATATTTGAGCATGCACTTGCAGTTTTTGTTGACTCAAGGCTTATCTTTAGCTCTCCCTGTGGGATTTGGAAGAAGGCTAGTGCCAGGAATCCTCCCAATCAAATAAGTTTATAAAAGCAATTTAGTCCTTAAGTAGAAATACCTGATATTTCAAAGCAGGGTTGCTTTCTGCTGTGTTACTATAGTAACTTTAAATGTCTTGTCCATAAGGTGGCAGCAAAGGCGGGAGAAAACATCACATATCTGTTCTTAACTTTTACAACCCTCTTCCTGAGCAACCAAAATAGTCCTTTTAAAGGATCATACAGCATTTCTAAATGTCTATAAGGGTGATGCCAACATAAGGACCCTTAATGAGAGGAATGTCTTAAATGTCCTGATGGGATTCTTACGTGCAAAAGGTACTAACATTGTTATAAAGCATTTTTGTCCTAGTCTTAGACTTTTTGTGAAAGAGGAATTATGACATATCCTTAAAAGTACCACATTTCTTGCTGCAGAAGCGTTCTTATGTATTTTTCCCATAGCTGCAGTTTCCAAATTATAGTTTTTGCTTGTATGCTAGATTAGTCTCATGATAAACAGTATACACTTAAGTCAGATAAGCCGTTCCCACCCTAGAAAAGCATAAATAGTGTTTTCCTTCGTCTGTCACTCAACTCTAATTGATGGGTGCTGCAGTGACTTTAATTTGTGGTTTGATTTAGCTGCCCTTGTTTATGTTTTTTTCCTTCGCACTGAATGCAGGAGCTGCAAGTATTGGGAAAGGCCTCGGTGGGATGCTTTTTTCAAGATTTGGTCGATCTAGTACAGCCACCCCACAGACACTCGAGGCAGGAAAAGATGGAGCCGAGGAGGATGACAAAAAGGCCACAACAGCTGACACGCCCGTTTTACCGCACAGCACCAGCTCGAGCTTCCTCGAACCTGCAGGTTAGTGACAAGTCCACCTTCCAAACCCTGCGGAAACAAGACCCTCAGTGAGCTACATCTGTGTGTTGTGGGAGGCTGGAAATACAATAACAACATGAGCCACTATTTACTTTTGTTGGTTTGCTCTGAAGTGTTAAATATTGAATCCGTTCTTGCTTTTTGAGTCTCTTAAAGACCGTCCAAAGACTGATTCTTTGTTCTCCCTTTAATCTTTTTTCCTCTTAAAGGAGGTTTATCTGTATGTAAGTTTGTGTATACATGTACACCATATGTATGTATGCATGTATGAGTTTTGGTTAATGATATCTGCATAGCAGTAGTTCCTAGGAAAAGCAATATGATTGCTGCAGACAATTCCCTCACCATTTATTGTAAAATGATTTAAATTTCCCCATACATTTGCAATTCTGAAGCAATCTGGATTTAAAGGCATATATGACTGAAAGCAGAAGCTGCCCTTGTCCAGATCTGAACCACCCAGAACGGAAAGTGAAATTTAGCAGCTGGGAGATTTTTTTAGTTTTTTTTAAGTATAGGTACTTCCTTTACAGAAATTCATACTTGATTTTATTTCTAAACTTGTAAACTTCTCATTGACACTCTTGCAAGGGTGAATTTTTGCAATCTAAGTATGTTGCATCTTGTGATAGCCTTCATATGATACGCTGCTGTCTGTTCATCACTGCTAGTTTCAACAGATAGCCTGTCCAAGTCAGTATTTGAGAACAGAGACTTTGTTTTAAGCTTGAGGAAAACAGTGGCACAACAGGGAACATTGTGGAGCTGCTGATGAGGTCTTTTTTGGAGGAAGGGGGGGGTTGGCATGTCCAGGGCTTTCTGCACGCTTCCCGCATCCCTCTTTGCTGAAAGCCTGTCCCTGCTCCATAGAAGGCAAACGTGGAGCAGAGGCCAGCGAGGCTGCAAACCGAGTGATGCAATCCACAGCCAAAGTATTTGCTTCTGTGAGGGGGGGCCGCTCAGCTTGTGGGGTTTGGCTGCCTCCCAAGCTCCTGTAAAGGCCTCTCGTCAGAGGGAGACAGAGTCGTTCGGGGTGTCCTTACTGCAGAGCAACTGGGTTTTTGAACATATGCGTCCTAGTGAAAATGCCTGTGGTCGTCATCTGGTAGTCGAAGGCTCTGACTCCCTTTCCTCACTGTATTTGCAGTGCAGTGCAACACTCCTGTGAAAACACAAAGGGATGTCACTCCCCAAGCACTGCTGTGCCATAAGTGCTGGGACAGCACTTGTGCGCTTTATGTGCTCTTTGAGCCAAGAATTAAAATTCCTTGGAAAACTGGCTTTGATAAATGGCTGCATTTTTTTACTCAATATGGGGGTTTGGCTTTTGTAGCTAAGCAGACTTTTAGTTTTGTCCTTTTTATTCTATTGCTCCTCGTTGAGATGTTCTAACCGCTAAAGTGCCTTAACAATAGGTTAGCCAATGGCCCAGTTAAATATGCAGTGAAAATTGCTTTGAATGTGGTATTAATCAAAGCAGCCATTGAAATGAAAGGATAACTGCTGAAACATATTTGGAATAATCTGGAAATTAAAAGGGCTAGTGCTGTGTAAGGACAGCTGATTTTCAGAAAGGGCTTGTAATATTGGGTGTAGTCTCCTTGTAGAGCCTCTAAAGATGCGAGAAGTCCATTTATTTCAGAAAGTTTTGAGCCATCCGCCTTCTGAAAGTCAATGTTTCCTAATGGGGCCTCAACATTTGCTGTATACTTCTATGTAGTGCACATAGACAGTGGAGTATAAATAAATGTATTTATATGTATTAATATAAGGAAAAGAGCTGCTTTAAAAAATCCATGTTTTTCCAAGCTTTAGATTTAATTATCCTCCCTTTTTTTTTCCCTCTAAACTAAGCACTCTTAAGCCAGGTTTGTGCTAAATGCATGTGCATCAAAGAGTATATACATATCTAAATCAGCTATGATTTTTAATAATGAACGTACTGTTAAATGTAAACACAGAGGTATTTTGTGTATTTGTCACAGAACTAATAAATTAAGGCTAAATGAAACTTACTGTTCAAGCTCAATTAAAGCTCCACCAATCAGCTACAGATTCGGATGTCACATGGATTTGTCACTACACTGCTGATTCATAAACTTTATGGCCAATGATCCAAAATGCACAATCACTTACCTAATAAAGGGGGGGTTCTCAACCTCTAGGAGTTCCCTTGGACGGCGTCCCAATCCAAGGAGAGAGTCCCCAACTGCAGCCCCCTGCTTCAAGGAGGACCAGCTCCAAATGGCTGCCCAAGGGGCTCCATTTCTGCTCTGTTTGAATCTGAGCTGTGGTCAAACATGGTCACATAGCCCCTCCTTGGATCAGGACCCAACTTCCTCATCTTTGTAGCCACTGACCACCACCATGAAGGTGAGACAAGATCAGTGCACACAGGAGCTTTCCCAGGCTCTTGTCTGTGGTGGGGAGCTTTCATGGGCTTTGGTTAGGTCTTTCTCGGGGCAGGTGTATCTGCCGCAGTACTTTACATACAACAAGTAGTATCAGAACCCAAAGCTTATGAAAAACTTGCTGGTGTTTTTTCTTCTGCTGACATACAATTCTAACATAATTTTTGTTTCTTGTTCAATTTCTAGTGGAACTGGAGCACAGGATTGATTTCGAGCTCAGGGAAGGTCTTGTGGAGAGCAGATACTGGTCCACAGTCACATCACACACTGCCTATTGGTCATCTCTGGATATTGCTTTTTTCCTTCTAACCTTCATGTACAAACACGACTAAAAAGATACAGACAAATCCAGTATGGAAACTGAATTTTTGAATGGGGATGGGGCGGGATGGGAAAGGAAATTTTAAAACCAGTGGCACAAAACTGATGTTTTACTGTTAAACTGTAGTAAATAGGGCATGGAGGTTTCAGGTTTAAGTGCATGTTTGGATTTTTTCCTATTTCTAAGGAGCAAAAATTATTTGTATTTAAAAGCACTTTATAGTTTTAAACATTTTGCAGTGCTTAATTAGACCTGAAATGATTCCAAATTCTTGTCAACTTTGACTGTATAAAAAGCCAATACAATGTGTAGCATCCTGTAAGCACAGTTGTGCAGTGTGCTTGGGTGACATACTTGTTAATGACCATAATTGCTGTTCAATTCATTAAAGTATAAAAGATCAGTTGATTAAAAAAAAAATATTAATTTCCATTAACAAAAATATATGTTAGATACAAACCTAAAACTGCCATGTTCTGATGTTTTATGTACCAGTTAATAACAAAGGTTGGTATCATTTCTAGGACTTTATTCAGCTCCGCATCCTATTATCCACAGTACCATTGAAAGACCATTCTGACTGCTGGCTTCTGAGGGCGTGTTATACGTGATGCATCTAGAAACTAATGCTGAAAAAGCATGAAGCAAATATTTGAAATACTGTAATTATAATTTATTATTATCTCTAATTGTTTCATTTTATTCCAGTGTATAAAACATTACTTTTTTACAGGTTTCTTTTGACATAATTTAAGAACCACATTTATTTTCTACAGTGTGAAGACTTTTTCTCAGAAATACATATCTTTGTACGACTATTCAAATGAAAATATGGCACTGTGGCACACTTTAAGTATTTTTTCATTAAAAATAAATGTTTGTGGTTTCACACAAATGGCATCAGTCACATTCTTCCCAAAGGTAAGTAACTGCCTTTGCTTTTTAGGTCCCAAATGTTTCTTAGGCACATGAAGGTTTTTACTTCACATTAGGCTTGGTTTGACAAGGATCTAGTTGTCTACTGCATATTACAGTATTAAATGTATATATGTGTGTGTGTATATATACTATATACATATGCAAGGATCCTATCAAGAGGAAAGAGAGCAGCATAAAATAAACTTGCTGAGGCCTGAAAATACCAGAGTTTAGATTAGGTTTGCATCTGAAAGTAATTCAAGAGAAGTCAAGAGAGAAGAGTTGTGATGAAAGGAAATAATCTGCAAATGAAACACTAAAAGGTCATTGCTGAGATTTTAAAACAATGTGGAAGACTCTGGAGTAGAAGTGTCAGATACATGGCCTCTGAGCTGCTGCTGATGAGGTATTTATGATCTGTAGGGCATATGTAGAAGCTGCTGAATCTAAATTTTTACTAAAATATAAATCAGGCTGTGGTGTTGGTGAATAGCAGTGTTCTCAGTGTAACAGATGTGGCATCATTTGCCCACACCAGCAGATGGCCTCAACCAGTGCCTTGATGTGGAAACCACCCAGATGTGCCCTTCTGAAATTCTGGGGAAAGAGGGTGGCTCTTCTCCCAAATAATACTGCTTGGACTGTTGCTTGTTTCCCTGGTCCATGGTGGAATGAGGAAGGAATCAGGAGCTAGACATATATATATATATATAATATATATATATGTGTATATTGGGGGTATGGATTTAGGAATGGTGGAATGAGGAAGGTTATGGATTTAGGAATAATTATGGAGGGGCAAACCAATGCAATGAAAAAGGGGAGGGGAGGAGTGGAAGGGAACAGGAAGGGATGAAGATGACAGAAACAGCACTACTATAAATGCATTGAACCAATTCCCAACAAAGATGTTCGGATGGTGTAAAGGACCTTGCTTCAGTATGGATCTGAAAAAATCCATTTATCCTTGGTGAACTGTAACTCTCCTGCTTGACATGTTTACCTTGGTGGATGAACAATCATAACAGATTAAAATAACCCTCTAAGAGAAAGAAGCTTGACACCTCTGCTCCAGAAATCAGGCTTTTGTTTACATTACTGGCTTTCCAGATAAGTTATTTAATCAGCTCCTCCTAATTAGGAGAACTTAAACATAAAAGGGGAATCTTCTTTTATATTTAGAACGTGCAAAACATTTCCAAATGTGCATAGTTTGTATTTCAGTACTTTGAGTTGGATCATATCACTGTTGCGTTATCCCCTTACACTGCTAGTTCTACGCTAGCTCTCTTTTTAAACATTGTAAACAAAAGAGGAGTTAATTCCTATAATTCTTGTGGTCTGTGTAAACTCTGCTGTTGTCCAGAACATGTTTCAGATTTATGGAATAGCTGTTCCACTCACATCAGAACATGCTGGTACTTGCTGACTGCTCTCCATATAAGGGATGAGATCCTACTTTTATGCACATGCCCCTTGGTAAATCAGGGAGAAGATATAGCTGAGAAGTAAACCATACTGCTAGTAGGAGAAGGGATAATAAGTACCAAAGCCTGTTCATTGCTTTGCATTTTTCATAAGTTAATGGACACATGTATTTATGATTCTGTTCTATTTTGTAACTTCATGGAGCATCTCGTAATCTCCAAGGTTAATTACGAACGTGAAGCATAACTCGAAAGAATAAATGGAGATTTTTTTTTTTCCTAGTGTATGCAAAGATGTTAAAAGTGCTGTGGGCAGAATTTCATCTTTTTAATCCTCAGAAAGGTTTTCTTATCTTCCTGCAAAGATGAAATACTATTTGAAAAGTAAATTTTGAAGTTAGAAAAGGGTTGCCCCGTTTCTATTCTGCAGCATAACACAGTTTCAAGTAGGGTCACGTCTCTGCATGCTAGAGTCTAAATTTCATGCTTAAAACTTTCTGGTCAGATGGTCTGTGGCATAATATAGAGCTGGAATGTCCTGGCTTCCAATTACTGACTTGTTTTCTTCTGCAAGAACAATGTTTAGCTTTACAAGCTGTGTTGACTGGTCGTTTTCTTGAGAAACCAAGATAAGGGAAATGTACTGTGCTGCTGTCAGTCTTCTGATACTGAGCTGTTTTCTGAAACTTGGCCATGAGTGCTTTGTCCAAATTTGACATTTACAGTTTTTCTGCTACGAGGTCATTTTTGCAGATAATCTGCCCTTTTAAAAAAAAAAAAAAAAAAAAACACAACAAAAAAACCCCAAACTGAACTCCATCCCTTTGCTCATAATTATTCTGTCATGGCTTTACTACAACCTTCCTTCCCCTTGTATATGCTGTCTCTTTGCTTTTATCACCAGTGTTTCTGGAGTTAGAGACCGTTTGCTTTCTTTCACCATGATTGTCTAGCTGGCCAGCTTCAATTACTAAATCTCCTTTACTAATTAGTATTATTAGGCTTACCTGAAACACATTTCACATTTTCATGCCTATATTACACCTGGTTGCCACCTCTTCATCCTCCATGGTTTTCTGTTGTCCTGGTGTTCGTTTCTTGTGCTGCTTGTCAGTTGAGCTGACTCTGCCTGTAGCTGAATCAGTGGAGATTGATTTTTTTCTCACTTTGAGTTCAACTGTTTGCAGTTAGATAATGTATATTTGTGTGCCCTCTGCCCAGCAAGTTTATTTGAAATCCGTATTTCCCCATTTTTCCATTATTGGCTTGGAGATTAGGTTTCTGTCTCCACATACTGAAGCCTTGGTGAGATGAATCCTGTGACTGGAGCGTGGCTATCTATGGCTACAGGCTGTTCGGAAGAGAAGACAAAGGCAAAGAAGGAAGGGTGGAGGGGTTGCCCTCTACATCAAGAGATGTATAGAGTGAGAAGAGTTGTTTCTGAAGAATAATCATGAGCAGGTTGAAAGCTTGTGGGTAAGAGTCAGGGACTGAGAAAACAAAGGAAACCTTGTGATTGGTGTCTACTACAGACTATCAATGAAGCCTTGTTACTCCAGCTACAGGAGGCATCACGCTTGCAGGCTCTTGTCCTGCCAGGGGACTTAAACCACCCTGACATCTGCTGGAAAAGTAGCACAGCAAGCTATAGGCAATCCAAGAGATGGGAACAGGTTGCCCAGGGAGGTGGTAGAGGTGCCATCCCTAGAGACATTCAGGGCCAGGCTGGATGTAATTCTGCGCAGCCTGCTCTGGTTGAAGATGTCCCTGCTCATTGCAGGGGGGTTGGACTAGATGAGCTTTGAAGGTCCCTTCCAACCCAAACTGTTCTATGTGATTCTATGACTCTATTCTGTATCACTTTTCTTTTGAACTTGGACTGCAGGTGATTGACCCACGATGTTTCACAAGGTCGTCTCGGTCTCTGCCATGCATGTTCAGTGACCATCAGCAAGCTTTTACACACCAACACCCAGTAACAGCCTGCCATATGTACTGAGTTATTTTCAGTTTTCTAAGCATTATCGCACTGGTTGCTCTCCCTCTGCTATTGCAGTGACCACTTTTCATTGCCCCCCCAAGAGTCTGTGCCTATTGTCTTTGCTGATCTTGTGAAAAGCTTTAAAATCTTTTCTTAAACTGCACCCATGTGACAGTCCCATTTTCTGGTTTATCAGATGGGGCTTCAGCCTGACCTGTTGCTTGCATTCCATGTTCGATCTGCATTTAATAATTTTCCACAAAAAATCTCTTTCCGTTTAGCTTTTCCCTCTCTCTTCCATAGGTATTTTTTAGTACAGCTCGTTCTTCAGGGCCTCTTCTGAAGCATTTGGTTTTCATTCCT